GAGGGCACCAACTTCGTGCGGCAACTCATGGTAGCCTCCCGTACCACGTACCATCTTGAGGGAACTTGCGAATCGACGCGAACCGACGCTAAGCCGACGCTAAATCGACGCGAATCATCGCCACATCGGGGTTGTCTCGTCGATTACCAGACGCTAGCGCACGCTAGTGTATTCAAAATGCGGAATTACAAGGACGCGCAAGTCTACCATTCTTTGCAACCGAATCCAACTCTTGCCGCACCCCCGATCCTACCTCGCGCAGGCGGCACTCGCAGGCCCAAGCTCGCGCGCTCGTGGGACTCGGCGCTGGTCCGCGGGCCGACGGACCGCGGGCGTGCGACGCCTGCGCAGGGCCGAGAACGAGTGCGCGGTCATCCGCTGCCAAGAGATCGATCTTTGCTTGTCGGCGACAGCCCCACTTTTCCCTTGGGGGGAGGGGAGGGCGGTGCCGGTCGATGGCCTCATCTTGTCGTTCTGGGCAACCCCGCGCACGCCCGCGCGCACCAGCACTGCGCACCTGTTTGAACCTGCGCATCCGACAAGGTCAGGTTCTCGGGGGGGGCGAGGGGGGGGGCCAGGCGGGCCTGATACAGTCGGGGCGTTGACCAAAGGAACCCTAAATAAGGAACGAGGCCCCTTTTTCCAGAAGTTAAACTTCGATTTCCCATCGAAAACATAAGGAAAACCTGAGGCAAGCTGTGAAACAATCAAGGAACACCGAGCCCCTCCCCAACGAAAAGGGTTCCTTCTTCAGCGCCTCGAATGTACTGCGCACCTGTTTGAACCTGCGCATCCGACAAGGTCAGGTTCTCGGGGGGGCGAGGGGGGGCCAGGCGGGCCTGATAACCCGGGTGATCGCCAGACCATAAACGAAAGTCTCCAGGAGGCGGGAGGTGAACTGCAGGGGGCCTTCGTGAGCAGGGAGCCGTCGTGAGCCAGGGAGACCGAGCTCCCCAGCCAGAGACAGAGGACAGAGTAGGGAAGAGCGGTGGCGGAAAGACAAGGCAAGACACGCGTGTCCGCCGGCAGCCGGGTCTTTTAGAAACGGCGTGGGCGGGCCGGGGCCCGTTCAGATGTGCGCCTGCGCGAGGTAGTGTTTCTCCCAGCTGTTCCACAATATCCGGTCGTCAGCGAGATCCAACCACGTCGCGGTATTGTCTCCAGTGGTAGATCGTGCAAACTGATACGTCGTCGTGCCACCTCTTTCGCTGCCTTGCCTGTCTGCGTATCGCTCGTCTGGTGTCGTGGACGTCGGGTTCCCACGCTGCAGCAAGTTTGGTCCATCTGTGGTGGTGTTGCTCTGCGATTTGCCCTGCCCGTCGCCATTTGCGCTTTTGGTAAAGGGTCGTCCAGTCGTCTACCTTGAAGCGTTTTGCTAATTCTTCAGCTGTGTGGGTAGCTCCGCGAATGTAATCCTCCCACGGTTCTAGGACGGAGCCGTCTTCGACGACTTCGCGGTGAGGTTGTACTCTGGCGTCGTTGCTGCTCGTGCTGTCGCTTGAGCTCGTGCTGCCGTCGCGCTGACCTAGGTCGGAGTTTGTGTCGTTACCGGTGTCGGTGCTGCGCGTTGCTGGTGCTCGGCGCCTGGGCGTGTTCACAATGAGTCGCAGCATGCGTCGTTGGTGCGTCGCAGTGTCAAAAGCATCTCCTGGGTGAGGGTCCACGAAGTGCAACCCTACAACACGCTTGGCATCACCGTGCCATTGAATAGCCTCCTCCTCCTCTTTCTGCCGCTCCACCACTCGTCCTCCCCCACATCCGCTTCCATCTCCTCGCTCCCCGAGATTCCCTCCCTCCTATCCTCCCGCGCCTTTCGGGAGCCCGTGGAGGCCCGGGAAGGGCCAGGGACCTCCCGAACTTTCGAAGACTTCCGAAAACCACGCGAACGACCAACATATGCAAAGCCTCAAGGACCAAGGTGCGTGGCGCGAAGCGCCAATGCAGTCCTGTATATATATATATATATATATACTGCTACGCACCAGTAGGCCACTCTACACGGGCGACCAGAGCAGACGTGGGCAGAAGGGCCATGCAGCGCACGAAGCGCAACAGATAACTCTTTAGCCAGAGGGTTCCACTCAAGAACGTCGCTTCTGCTGTGGCGGCGCCACAATACAAGAGAATAGCCTGAATCATCGAGATAATCAACATAGATAGATGTGTGTGTAGCTATGTATCCGGGACTGCTGGCCTGGGCCCGGGCCCTCCCGTGCGGAAGCGGGCCCGGAGCAATGGCGGGAGGAGGCAGCACGGAGGCGAGCGGCAGGTCAGTGGGGTTCGAGGCCCAGGCCTCCGACGGCGCGACGCTCGGAATGCCAGCGGGCTGTCGTTAAAATTGGGCTTCGTGAGGCCCGCTTGGGACCCGCAGGAGGAGGTGCAGAACTCCAGGGCCACTGCGTAGTACAGTCGGGGCGTTGACCTAGGGAACCCTAAACAAGGAGCGAGGCCCCTTTTTTCCACAAGTTAACCTTCGATTTCCTGTCGAAAACATAAGGAAAACCTGAGGCAAGCTGTGAAACACTTAAGGAACGCGGAGCCCCTCCCCAACCAAAACGGTTCCTTCTTCAGGGCCCCGACTGTATGTGGGGCGGGGAGGGGGGAAGCAGCGAGCGTCGCCATCGAGCAGTGAGCCACGTCAGGAAGATGTGAACAGAAGCTGCCTGCTTTTAACAGCAGGAGGCCCGCTTCGGGCCTCGAGGAGGGGAGTCAGATCAGAGTTCCAGGGGCCTTGTGTACATGGGACGGGGAGGGGGGAAGCAGTGAGGAACGCAGTCAAGCCAGAGTCACATCAGTAACGCGTGAACAAACAGCCCACCGTGGCAGGGATCTCCTGGAACTCTCTGGGTGCTGTACTGGCTGGTCTTTTGTAGCCGCTTGAAGCCATCCTGGGACGCCTCACAGGTCTCTTAGGGCCTGTTGTGGCCGTCTTAGGGGCCTCGCTGTTTGGGGGTCTCTGCGGCCATCTTATGCTTCCCTAGGCCGTCTGAGGAAATCTTCTGGGGCCATCTTGGGCCGCTCGTGGGCTAGGAAGGCGCAAGCTTCCCGGGATCTCTTCCCAAAGGACGGCTCCACGGAAGGCTCGGGCCGACACGCGCGACCCCCCCCCAGACTAAGGGGCCCAACTGGGAAGGGAGGGGCACGGGCCGGGCAACACGAGGGGGGAGATGGAGGGCGATCGGCTGTGACCCTGGGCAACACTGACCCGTGGTGCGCGTCATTCCCGGCCGTTGGCGTACGGTGCGACCCGTGGCGGCCTGCGCGCCTGGGCTTGGACCTGCAGCGCCCCCCCGAAAGCCGCGCAGCACAGGCCACTCCGGCGACGCACAGCCGGGGGCGAGGAGCGGCGAGGGAAGCTGAACGAATGGAAACATCGAGCAGGCGGGGGTTTGCCAGGGGAGGGGGGCATCCCCCCTGCAGCCCCCGCCCCGCCCCCCCCCCCCCCCCCCAGACCCCCGACATCATGATTTTTTCATGGCGTCGACCCCCGAAGTCTCGACCCATTCCCGGGAACCGGTTTTTCGTCCTGAGTCGTTTTTTGACGGTCCCGAGGGCCGGCAAGGGCCCCCAGAGGCCAAAAATGATGAAAAACCTCCCGTCGTGATTTTTTCATGACGTCGAGGGGGTCTGGGCCCCGCGCGCCGCGGTTTTTCCTGTCCGCCGCGCGGGGGTCCACTCCCGGCTCCGCCGGCGCCGGTCGCTGGGCCGGCGATGGCGGCCACCGGCCAGGCGCCGAGGCAGGCCCAGGCGGCCTGGTCGCCGAGCGGGGAGGTCCAGAGAGGGCAGGGGGGGGGGGGAAGGGAGGAGGCGCCTTCTCTGAAGGGGCCCCAGGACACCCAAATAAATACACACAAATAAAAATATGCCCCATATTTTCTGGGTTTCCCATATTTTCCCATATTTTCTGGGGAATCGAGGATTAATTGTGTCTGTGTGTTTTTTCCTCTCCTGATTCTCACATGCACGTGTCGCCCAAACCGACCTGGCCGACTCTTCGCTGAATCATCTCTGGGCTTCGGACGCTGCCCTGAGGCTGTGCAGACGGAAACGAAGGGCGGAGCGGGCAGGGAGGGAGGGAGGGAAGGGAAAGGGAGGGAGGGAGGAAGGGAGGGAGGAAGGGAAAGGGAGAAGGTGAAGGTGGGCAGGGGGAAGAGGGGGAGAGAAGGGGGGCGTGGGGGAAGAAGGCGAAGTCGGCGGGGACCAAGGCTGCGATCCCCGGACTCCCAGGCCCCAGGGCCGCCGAGGGGGGGAGGGAGGGAGGGAGGGCGGGGAGGAGAGGAGGGGGGGGCGGAAGGGCCGAGGCAGGGGAGGAGAGAGAGAGAGAGGGGGGCACACGGAAGGACGGAAGGCAGGTGGGAGCACGGGTGAGCCGGGCGGAAGGACGAGCAAGGAGGCGGAAGGGAGGATTGACGAGCGGCTGGAGGATGGAGGCGGGAGCAGCGGGTGGAGGGAGGATGAAGCAATCAGGGAGGGGGAAGGAGAAGGAGAGGGAGAAGAAGAGACGGGAGAGGTTGCAGGGCGGAGGGAGGTGGAGCGGGCGGAGGGAGGAGCAGGGAGGCGGCAGGGAGAAGGCATGAAGTGACGGTGGAGGATGGAAGGGAAGAGAAGGTAGATGATGGAGGAGCGAGGAGCGGGGGAAGGGGGAGAAATGTAAAGATGTCGAGATGGCGCCGATGTGTTAGCGCTCGGGCAGCTGAGTGTGCACGCGCAGAAGCATTGACACAGATGGGGCCATGCCCGTGTGGCCGGCGGCTGGCGTTCGGCCAGCCAAGCGAACCCACACAGAGGCATTGACACCGATGGGGCCTTGCCTTGGTGGCCAGCGGCTGGAAACGGCTGGTGCGCGAGGGGAGGAGAGAGGGACGGAAGGAGGGAGAGGAGGACGAGGAGAGAGGTGGATGAGGAGGCGGAGGAAGAGATCGAGGAGGATGACAAGGATAATGATCACGCGGGCGAGGAACCGGAGGTGGAGGCGGAGAAGGAGGAAAGAGGACGAGGAGGAGGACGACAGCGAGGAGGAGCAGGAACGGGAGGAGAGGGCGGGGCGCGCGGAGCTGGTCGGGCGCGCGGTGGCGCCCGGCGGATGGCCGCCTCAGACGCCCTCGCTCCTGCCGCCCAGCAGACCACTGAAGGGCGACCGCTTCAGCGCTGCGCTCCTGAGGCTCCTGCTGCTCCTCTGCTTTCCCTGCTCCGCCTCCTCCTCCTCCTCCTCCTCCTCCTCCTCCTCCTCTTCCTCCTCCTCCTCCTCCTCCTCCTCCTCTTTCTTCTCCTCTCCCTTCTTCTGGTCCTCCTGATCCTCCTGCTCCTCTGGATCCTCCTCCTCCTCCTCCTCCTCCTCCTCCTCCTCCTCCTCCTGCTCCTGCTCCTGCTCCTCTCCTCCTCTCCTCCTCCTCCTCCTCCTCCTCCTCCTCCTCCTCCTCCTCCTCCTGTTCTGTTCCATGGCCATAGGGGGATGATACGCAGGCTGCATCATAAATTCACGAACGTGCTCATCACCTGCCACTATAGTCCTGTCCGTACTCCCCGATGGCGTGGGCGTCGAGGTACGTGTCCAGGGGACAAAAGAAACTCGCAAGCTCGGGGTCGAGAGGGGGATGGTGGGTCACAACAGCAGTGTCCACGACGCGGACCTCACCCCCCTCTCTCAGCTTCTGACGACACGCGTTGGCAACATGCCGAGCTAGGAAAGTACACAGCTCAGCTGGGTACTGTTTGGCCTGCTGTGTGTTCCAGCGGCCATGTTCACTTTTGCCCTGCACGATGTCGTGTGCTGCTGTTTGGCAACATCGGCCTCGGCGAAGCATCTGGTTGATTTCATGTCCGAGACTAGGAAGATCTGTCGTCAGAAGCTGGGTCGGTTTCGTCGTCTGCACACCGAAGGAACATTGGTCTAACCACACCAGATCGACACTAAACCCTCGATCTTTGAGAGCTCGCATGTGCATAGTTTCTTTCCGAAACCATGAGCTCGGAGCCTCGGGGTTCAAAGGGACTGCAAGATGCTCCAACACTCCACAGACACCTGTGGCAAGACTGACATGCATGAAACACAGGGCAATTCGTTATAGATCATTAGCTGTAACAACATGTCGCCATTCTTTTGCGGTGGCCAATGGTCGTCCCCAGAGATACTGTAAAGATCGGAGTGGCCTCGCTGTCGGGCCCTCTGGGACTTCCACGTATCGAACTGCCGACCATGTCTCGCGCGGTGGTCCAACTATAACACCGACGGCACGGGCTTCAAAAAACAAAACTGTCAGTTTCTCGCGTGCTTTCGGCGATCTAAAATCGCCGTTCACTGGGCCATTGACTGCATCAATGGAAAGTACAACGACAGGGCCTACATCGAGGCCTGACTTCTGGAACGCTTCGAAACAGTCCTGGACATCCTCACGCCGCCTCTGTCCACCGAAAAGGTGAAGCACGTAGCGGGTCTCGCTGGGCTCCAGACGGCGCGGGCTCTCAGGAGGCAGGGTGCGCCGCTGGGGCGCTGAAACTCTTCAACTCTAAAATCGGGAGGAGGAGGCGGAGGAGGAGGAGGAGGCCCCCCAATCCCAGCGGCCCGCGAGAGCCTCTCCCCAGGGACGGATCCAACAGGAACCTCGGCCTCAGTCGCCCTCGAGCCCCGAACCTTGAGCGCCGCCGCGTGGTTCCTATCTCTCAGTACGAAGCGCTTCATACAGATCATCAGGCATGGGTTCGTCGGCTCGGCACAAAATCTCGAAGCAACCGGCGCCAGCGGACCTCAGGCGTCGCAACAACCTGGGCCTGTTGCGGAAATCTTTACAGCACACTCGGTACTCATAATTACCAGCCCACCTCCCAGCGCGGCCATTGTGTCTTAGTCACATGACCTTGCATGGCCCCAGGGTGAAGCACACATAGACGCACGTCTCACAGACATACCGCTGCTCTCGGGGCGCCTCGAGGGTAGCGTCGGGGGGTGGGATGGCGGCAGCCTTACTGGTATTATGCAAATATCTTCTCCATTTTTCCAGACGCAGCTGGTCGGTGTGCCACCTCTTGTACGCCTGTGCAACCCTACGAACTATCTTCTTCCATTGGATTGGGTTCTCGGCTGCGCGGAACAACAGCTCCTACCCTAAGATTTTGTTGCAGCAAGCTCCATGTCAAGGAGCTGCCGAAGCTGGGGGGAGGTCATCAATCTAGAAACATATCTCAATCTCATGAGGCGGGGCACGTCCGGAACGGGAATCCGATCGGTGTCGAGCAAAATCTGCTCGCTGGCCACGTGGGGTTGATCTGGGCGTCCTAAACGAACGCCCAAGACATTCCGAAAAGGGGGCCATATGCACGGCTATCATCGCTTCAGCTTCCGTCTTCGAAGGCTCCCCCCAGACATGCCCGTTGTAAAGCAGTCGGGAAGTACAAAGGGAATCGACGTACTTGAACTTGGTTCTCAGGCTGAGCCTTTTGGCCTTCAAGACAGTGCGGCGCAGGGGGCCAACTCCAGCCTTCTGTTGGGTCCTCCGATGGGCCAGCTCTGAGCCCAACCCCCCATTCTGGGTCACTATCTTTCCGAGGTGTTTGTAAATGCGCTGGAGAAAAAGCTCGTCGCCGTCAAGGGTTTCATAAAGGGGGTTGGCAGTCGGAAAGAGATCAGCACGGATCCTTCTTGATCCCTCTCCTCGGGGTTGGACGAGGAGAGCGGACTTGCCATTCTTGAAATTTACTGTCATCCCGTACCTAGCGCTGGCCTCGCTGATGATGGCAACTGTGGTCGAGATCATCTCGTGAAGGTCCTTGGCCCTGCGCACAACTGCCATGACTCCGAGGTCGCCCACAAACGTGCTGTCGGCCAGGCAGCCGATGTCCACGTCACCAGGGAGCGAAACACATGTGTTTTCGGTGCTTCAAGTTTGAGAAGATACCCATGGAGGTCAAGCTCAACTCGAACTTTCTTGACAACAGACACGAACAAAAGGTTGAAAACAAGGCGACTCCCCGAAGTCGTCCTGACCGCTCCCTGGGACCCTTTGGTTTTGAACCAAGTGCTCGCGTGGGTATCGGCAAGCACCCTCAAGAGGTGATCGTTGTCCAGTCCTTCGAGGATAGCTAGTTAAGCTATCGTATGCTCCAGGCTAGGAATCAAAGCTTCGGGGATCTCGGCGGCGTCGATGGCGTCAGCCAGGTCAACAAGATCATTCCAATGTGGCATCGCCAGTGCACGAATGACCATGTAAAAAAGCCGACTTCAAATCAACGGGCGCAATGAGGGGCGAGAGGCTCCTCTGTCTCGTCACTTCAACAAAAGTTCGGACCATGTGGGTGGCCATGTCGGTGCCTCTCCCAGGACCCCCCCCCCATTTGGGTCTCCAAAAGAAGACTGGCCACCAACTTTTGGACCTGGCCTCGCACGCGCTTGTAGCGATGCTTCGCGACATTGTTCATCAAACGTATTTCTCGGTAGCTCGCGTGCTCCGCGGCCGCCCCAGAATTTGCGTAGAGGTCGCGGGCCCGCCCCCCCTTGAAGGCCCACGGTTCCCGGGCGTGCAACGCAGACTTGAGCGCAACCGGATGGAGCAACCGAGCCGTTTCATCAGGAGCGCATCGGAGCTCCTCGATCATCCCATCTGGGCCCCCGCTTTGCCCTTACTCGCCTTGGCGAAGGAAAACCTCAGCTCGTCTCTTGGCACCAGATTTTCAACAGGGCGTTCCAGGCAGGGTTCCGAACGGCGGTTATCTGGACTGAACCTCGCGCACACCTGGGGCGGGGTCAGAGTCGCGCCTCCCTCGATGGTGGCAAAGTAGTCTTGAACAGACCTGGCAACTTCCATCCTGGGTTGTTGGGGAACGCCGTCATGGCCGTTCCGAATCGGCAGGGCTCCCGTCGCGAGCTTCATCGTGAGTCCTCCGAAAGCCTGCAGGGCGTTGGCAAGTCGGGCCTCTCGGTGCGGATTGCAGTCCTCGACGGCGTCTGCCATCTCGTTGGACGCACTTTCAATCAGTGCTGCACGATCTAAATCCAATTTTTCTCGCAAGATACCAGCAGTGGGACGAGAGAAGGACGCGAGGGCCTGCACCCAGGCATCCAAATCGCAAACTTCCAAAAACGCCCACGCCGCAAGTTTGAGCTCCTAAACCTGAGCTTCAAAGGCTTGCCACCAATCATAGGCCTCGCCTTCAACCTGGAAGCCCACTGGGGGACAAGGGGACAACATCATGTTGGCCCAATTGTAAAGAGCCTGTGCCTTCCTGTCCTTGGGGGTTCTCAAAATCGCCTTGTTCTTTCTCCTCCACCCAATAACGTGCATGGTGATGGGGGTCAGTGAAAGGTTTCCGAGGGAAGGTCTTTTGAATCGGGAATGCCGCCGAGGCGGCCTGTAAAATCTGTTCATGCACATGACTGCACTGCACGTTGGCATCGGCCGTCCAGGCCATGAGCGGGGTAGCGCACAGCATGGTCTTGAAAATCGCAACCCTGTGAGCGTCGCCTGTGAGATGCCTGCTAAAATTTGGCTGACGTCGCTCATTGGCCTTCTGGTCGCCTGGGCTCTGACTTGGAGCCTCTGCCGCGGGGTCGTCTTCGCCAGATTTCGGGGCGGGCCCGCCGCGGCTACTCGCGGCGTCGTGGATGTCCCACGCCAGCCCGAGCACGCAGGGGAGATGATCGCTTTGATCAGTCAGTTCGTCAACATCGCCCAACACTTGTTCGTAAGTGATGGCTGAGGCGAGCTGCGGGCGAACGCAAATGTAGTCGAGTCGATGATGGGCGCCATTCTCGATGAAAGTGCACCCTTCGTTGCCGTCAGGACGGGCCCAGGACACCTCATTGAAGGTAGATGGTGCGACGAGGCTGGTCTCGCACAAAAACTGATGCAAGCAAGTACCTGGCGCGTGCTCAGATCCGGCCGAACCCCCCGAGCCTACTGAGCTAGAAGTCACGCTTCCTAGTCTGGCATTGGTATCAGCAGCAATTCTGTCCACCCCTGTCCTGAATGCAATAGCTGTTGTCTCCTCCCACCATCGTTGCACTGCGCCCGCGTCAATCAGCCGACCCTGAACATTTCGATATGGGGCGTGAATCACCATGAAGTTGACATGTAGGCCTGGCGCACGAACTCGCACTACGATCCTGCGAGTGTCAGCGTGCTCCACTAGGAAGTGACCTCGTTGAAAGTGTATATATATATAT